CTCCCGCAAGAGTTCGAAAGCTCAGACAAATAAAACTACGATTCCGGTGATCTAAACTGTTTCTTCTCAATCTATGCATATACTTGGAATGCGAACCTTTGCCTCAATTATCCGGAACAACCTACTCTCAGTGGCCACGGAAAACAAATTTAACTATACTTTTCCACTTACCACTTCTACAAATTTCTCATACTGCCTATCCTATTTCTCAACCAAAACCCTTATAGCCACCGTTTCCGTAGGACAAAATGATGAGACTAGGGGTATATGAGGTGCGCTCCTTAAATTGCCTATGGCCTCTAGTGTTTTCACAACAAAATCGAGTGACATAACTAGATACAAACATTTACAGTATTGCCAAAAACCACGCAACACCGTATATTCTGCAAGAAAACCCTTATAGTTCGCGAAGTATTTACCTAACGGACACACAAACTATACTGCATGAAAGGAAAAATAAATCCTTAGAAGGAGGCATATTTCGATTGATAAAGTATCATTTATTATCTAAGATCTAATATGTTTTACCGAAAACTGCCAAATCCAAAATGGGCTGTAGGACAGGTCAGGGAATAAAGTTCGATGTATAAATGAAAGAAAGTGTAAGAAATTAAGATAAAAAGATAAAAATGAGGAAAATTAATAAATATGCAATATATTAATATTTTGTTGAGTGTCCATTAGCGTTTATAACAGCAGTAATTCGTCTACTTCAAATCACCTGAGGTCGCAATTCCTTTTCTCGAGTTACATCCGTATAGGTCGCTGCGCAAAGTGCCGCGCACACCCTCAATTTTCATGCGCAACAACTTTACGTTCGTTAATTTTATTTGCTTAACTTAACTTATTTATATTTAAGTTCAGTTTTCAGTTTAGCTTTTACTCAATTATTATTGTGTTAACTTTTTTAGTTTTGGATCAATTTTTAGTCATCTGAGTTAATCTTACTTTAGTTTGCTTTTTTGTTAATTGGTTTTAGTTTTAGTTAATGAGTTCTTTATTTTAGTTATTTTCCAATATTTGCACATTTTAATTATGAGGCGATTTTCTGTTGACAAACATTGGGGCATTTAAATAATTATTCCTGCTTTTTCCAGTTTTATAAAGATACTCTTCTCATTAACATTTCCTTTCCTTTGTATTGCCCAGACTGTATACTCTTTATTACGTTCGGCCCTGTATTACAGAAGGTTGGGACTTTCGCGTGCTGAGCTGGGAAACGCATATTTACCAATAAACGGTGGGACTACTTCAATAGTTGCACGTCCATGTTAAGTTCTATCAAGTAGAAATCAAAGTTAAAACGACACTTTAAGAGAGCACCGCGGGGCACCTTAGGTACCCAATGAAACCAGCTCCACAGTAGA